GAGTCTAGGGGGAGCTGTGTTCTGTCAGGTGTGACAGGTGTGTTACCTGAGTCTAGGGGGAGCTGTGTTCTGTCAGGTGTGACAGGTGTGTTACCTGAGTCTAGGGGGAGCTGTGTTCTATCAGAAGAGTAATTCTGAGGTATGGTGCTGATCTGCATAGTCTCATACTGGGAGATTTGGGTCTGCTTCACTTCTACATCATCATCCTCCTCTCCTGAAATGATGTATTTAATTTTTATTTATTTTTTGATATAATATTATAATATGAAAAGGGGAGATATAAGCTGTCTTCTGGTTCTTCTGGAAGATGGTCTTTAAGTTTATTCGGAAGGGCATTTATTTTTCTGTTGGAAGACGGTCAAAAATGGGGAATGGGTCAACAAAGATAATTTTCCAAGACTGTCAAAAACTCTGGATCTGCACCTGACATAACATGATATAATACAATACAACACAACACACATGATACAGTACAATATAATATGATATTATAAGAGTTTGTGGGCATATTGCTGAAAAGGTAGTTATCTTCTTCCCATGATCCCGTCCCTTGGCATCATCCCTTAGCTCCACCCCTTGAACTTCCCCCATTTGACCTGCCCCCATTGACCTTCCCCCTTAGCTCCACCCCTTGACCTGCTCCCTCAGCTCCACCCCTTGACCTGCCCCCTTAGCTCCACCCTTAGCTCCGCTCCTTGACTTACCCCAATTAGCTCCAACCCGTACACCTGTCCCCTTAGCTCCACCCCTTGACCTGCTCCCTCAGCTCCAGCCCTTGACCTGCTCCCTTAACTCCACCCTTAGCTCCGCTCCTTGACTTACCCCAATTAGCTCCAACCCGTACACCTGTCCCCTTAGCTCCGCTCCTCGACTTACCCCTTTAGCTCCAACCCCTACACCTGTCCCCTTAGCTCCACCCCTTGACATGCCCCCTCCCCTTTAGCTCCGCCCCCTTGGCTCCACCCCTTAGCTTTGCTCCCTTGTATACTACTTACTAACATTTTACTGTTGAACTCAACCCATCATGGCCTACCTGGAGGTTTGATCAGCATTCTACAGTAGAACGTACGGCTACAGTTGCCTAGTGATCCTTCTCTTGGCCAAGACAAGCTGCCACCTAGTGGAGAAACAACAAAAAAATTGTGAGAATCAATCCCTGACAGATATGCCTCTAAGAGTGGTTTATGAGCATCTGGGGTTAGACTTTCAAGGAGTTTTTAGTCATTTCGCAAATGGGCAAAGGTAGAATATAAATCTATAAATAGCTTTTCAAACTGAAACTGTACTTACAATTTTTGATATGGAATACCATGGATAACTTACATACTTACACAATAGCAAAAGGAAAATTCTACTTTTTTCTAGTCAAAATTTCTTCAAGCTAGGGAGAATTTGTGCCACTGCGTTATGTATGTACAGCACATATGTTTATGTGTACAGACCAGCATGTGTGCAAATATGTAAACAAGTTCATGTATGCGTGCGTGCAAGCATCTGTATGATTCCTTACCTACTGACATGGGCAGCAAATTGCTGCTGAACTGTACATGTATGTGTGCGTGCAAGCATCTGTATGATTCCTTACCTACTGACATGGGCAGCAAACTGCTGCTGAACTGTACATGTATGTGTGCGTGCAGGCACCTGTACATGTATTTACCTACTGATATGGACAGCAAACTACTGCTGAACTGTACATGTATGTGTGCGTGCAGGCATCTGTATGATTCCTTACCTACTGACATGGGCAGCAAACTGCTGCTGAACTGAGCGTGATCTCCTACGTGGATGATATTATATATACTTTTGGCTACAACATCACACTGAAATGAACAAAACATGAAATACAATGTAAGTTAATATGAAAACAAGATGCAATTTTTTTTATTAAGGCCCACAGGGGTGTTACAAAAGTCATGGAGTTTAAAAGAGTACCATGCCAGAGGCAATGCTATAATAAACTACAGTGTGAACATTGAGCTTAAATAAAATTTGTTGTTTGGACTATTATGAATGTCATTTAGAGATAAATTTAAAATAAACAAATACTTCAAGTACCATTTTAAATCAAATATTTAATCAACTTCAAAAAAAAAAAAAAAAAAAAGAATTCCTAATAATATTTTTTGCCCACTTACAGGATTGTACTTGAGGTACTGTGCGATGTTCTCAGATACAAACTCCACCTTCCCCTGACTATTAACAACAAACAGGAAACCGTCCAGTGCCTGGAAGAGTGAACAAAGGAACTATGTCAGCCTATGGGAATATAGCCATCGTAGTGTGTGTGTGTGTGTGTGTGTGTGTGTGTGTGTGTGTGTGTGTGTGTGTGTGTGTGTGTGTGTGTGTGTGTGTGCGTGCGTGCGTGCGTGCGTGCATGCGTGCATGCGTGCGTGTGTGTGTGAGAGAGAAAGAGAGAAAGAGAGAGACTTTGTGTGTGTGAGAGAGAAAGAGAGAAAGAGAGAGACTTTGTGTGTGTGAGAGAGAGAGAGCTATTTTTGTTTGTGTGTACAAACATGAAAGCTCACACATTTGTATTTGTCTATGACATAAATTATGTATACAATTGGAGACTTTTTAACTCTTCTTATTCCACAAACAAACAAATAATAGTTATTAAATAATTAAAATAATCAAATCAGAGGTATATTTTCATTCATAATTTTACAAGAGAACTCATGTAACTGAGTAACAACATACTGAAACTGGTAATATTAGGAAGCCTGGTAGCTAGAAACCCTACAAAGTCACAGGAAGGGAAAAGAAAACCCTCAAAGTCCTTCAATCTCAAACACGGCTTTATGCCTAGTCATTTATTCCTCCTAATTCTACTAATTTTAGATAATTTGGCCATTATAAAATGTTTGTAAGTGTCCAATCCATAATTATTTCAGATCAGTAGACAGGGTGATATACAGACGACGAGGGAAGACAGTCATTCATATAGACATGGGGATAAAATTCTGCATTCATAAACTCCCATAAATGTCACCAGTCCAGACAAAAACTTCAATAAGAGCCAGAGACACAAAAACAAAACCATATGTAAGGCAAATATTGCACTGGTGCCAGCATCAATATGAGTGTTTTCCTTTTCTGTAATGTAAACATGCACATCCAAAATTATTCAGTTTGTTGTCCCCCCCCCCTTTCTCGTCTTTCTAGGATCAAAAATGTTTCTGCCTCTCTCTCTCTCTCATCTGTCTATTGACAAAAATCTTTTTGCCTCTCTCTCTCTCTCTCTCTCTCTCTTTCTCATCTGTCTATTGACAAAAATCTCTCTCTCTCTCTCTCTCTCTTCAAACACAAACACCTATCACACTCACCCATGCAGACACCAACACAACACACACACACACACACACACACACACACACACACACACACACACACACACACACACACACATGCATGCAGTTTTATATACTCACAGCTAACCGTATTCCAAAATAACAGTGACTAACTACACACTTACAATAGCCATGAACTTTGAGTTCCCTTATCTGAACCAGACAGACACAACAAAACAAATACAGCCCCCCCCCACGCTCCAACACACCCACGCATTATAACTTGAACAATTAACCAGACCCTTGTTGACCCAATAAATAAATGTGATAATTTTTTTTTTTCTGAAATTGATACTTAATTTATGTTCATTTTTAGATTCTCAGAAACAGCGGCCCAGCCTGATACCAAGTCTGAACAAAAATGATTGGATGTATCTCGAAAAAAAAAAAACACTTCTTGTTTACGATAGTACACAGGAAAAATCAAAAAGTTCTGAAAAGCTTGGTCACATCACAAAAAAAAAAATTGTCAAATAGGGACAACTTAGACCCCATTCCCACAGATTTTAGATTGATCTATCCCTGTGGGAAGTCTCACTAGATTACTGTCAGCTTAGCTGGCTTAAGCATCTATCCCGCCTACTAAAAGCTGTATGGGGGTAATTAACTGTCGTGCGCACTCAGCCGACTGCAATTTAGCGTGAACCCCCAGGGAGTTAGGTCGATCCGAATGGATCCATCTAAATCTCTTGGAATGCACTCTTGAACTAATTATTATAACTGATCCTGTAAAATAGCAAGCAAAAACCAGAAGTAATTTTTTGTATGGTTTTTGTCATTTTATACTATATAAAATAGCAGAAATGATTAAATTTTAATAAACCAAATCTAAATATTGTACAGGTACTTCATATTTGTGAGCAATAATTGAAATCTAATAACTTTCTCATCAAAATGTCACAAAAATGTCACAAAATCACAAAATCGATATCAGGGATAATTTTCACATGGAATTTTCTACTGAAAAATTCAAATGACTGGAAAATTTCTGCTGCAGCAGAATGTTGAATAAAACCAAGGAAATATTAAGGTGAAAATAGTAAAACAGTTTACAACAGCATCAAATTAAAATACAATTTATATATGGCTAGGTTACAAGTGATATCATGTTATATGTACATGCACGTTGTATATGTGAGATAATACTGTGTCGCCCAGAGCGACATATCAAAGAACACCTGGTCCCAATTCCCTGGATTAATTGACTAAGATTCCCATTAGAGTGCTGTTACACTGCTCCTGATAGGGTAAGTTGTGCCCATGTGACCAAGTAACCTTGGTAACTAAGTTCTGTACCAGGGAACCTGACTTAAATTTCTTTATGAAACCAGGGCCTGATTACTGTTTCACAAAAGTACTTAAGTCAGTTCCTTGGCTTAGTTGACTAGGATTTCCATGAGAGTAGTGTTACACTGCTCCTGATAGGGTAAGATGTGACCATGTAACTTTGGTCACTAAGTTCTGTACCAGGGAACCTGACTTAAATTTCTTTATGAAACCAGGGCCTGATTTCTGTTTCACAAAAATACTTAAGTCAGTTCCTTGGCTTAGTTGACTAGGATTTCCATGAGAGTGTTGTTACACTGTTCCTGATAGGATAAGATGTGCCCATGTAACCCTGGTAACTAAGTTCTTTACCAAAAAACCTGACTTAATTTTCTTTATGGAACTAGGACCTGGAGTGTCACAAAAAGGAGCTCAAGGCATAAATATCTACAGGGTGGTAGAATATTATTCCACATACATACAGCACGAAAGTTCTCGCATTTCACCATAAAACACCTCTTAAACTGAATAAAGAGAATATTGCCACAGTCACGCAACATTTTCTAGGTATGTATTTGCTGGAGGGTTAAACACTGATGGGTGCTTCACAACAACCAGTGATGCCACAGTTTAAAATGTATCAGCATTATATGCATGCACAACAGGTATGATTTTGGTATATGAGGAAAAAATTTGGAGGAAATGCCTCCGCAGCTTTACATCCAGAGGGGAAAAGCTTTGGCTTAACAAAGGCAAAAAAACTGCCCAGAAAAAAAAACTGGGGAAAAAAATCATGTCATGTGTTAGGTGTGACAGTGTGTGAGCTGTGATAACATGTTAATTATAGAAATGTACACAAAAAGTAATAGCATTTAAAATGGCACCTTGTTCTAGCGTATTATATGTAATCAGCCGGTCAAATGTCGACTAAAATGGTACTCACCACCAACAAAGACCCAGTAGTTCCTTGCAGTTTTTTCAAATTGTCTATCTTCAAATTCATAAAGTAATTGCGTAACATCCGAAACAAAATAAAACATACATGCATGCATGCATCTGAACAGCCAGTATAGATTTTCTCTGCAGTAAAAATCCATCTAGAGAAGCCTATGTAACCAAGCAACCCTTATTTTCTAGAATGTGCAGTCTGTGGCGCATCTTATTCAGTGTTCTTCATTGCTGGATTGCAGGTGCATTCAAAAGAGACCAAATTCAAGCCGAAGACGGTCCAGCTTTCACCAGCAGACATACCACACATGGACTGTAAAAGGGACCCAACACAAACAAACTTAGTATTTATTTCTTCTACTGAAAATAAAAGGGCAAACCGCTCTGGTAAGATCAGAAAAAAAAATCAACAGTTTCTATTTGACCAGGTCTGAATGCGCCTGACGTCAGAAACTACACAGTTTATTATTCTTGTTGTGTTTCTCTTATGACATGTGCGAGTAAGTCCACAATTTACCAGGCTTCTTTGGTTACGACAACAATTCAAATGACAGCACAGTCTGAGAAACGCCAGACAATTTGATCATGCCAGCGACAGATTAAAAGACGATGAGCATGTTCACATCGAGGAGTTTCACTGGGTACTTTACAGCTACTTGAATTCCAATTCACTGATATAAATTCCATAACACAAGGGCAAAGCATAAAGTAAAAGGAAAGTCAGTTTCCTTATGATAAAAAAAGGAAAAGTAGAAAAGAAAAATAAACTTTGTTTGGGTGTGAACAGCTCATGCTTTGATTAACATCCCTCTTTGGGGGGGGGGGGGGGCGGGCGGCGGCAGAGAGAGAGAGAGAGAGAGAGAGAGAGAGAGAGAGAGAGAGAGAGAGAGGTGGACGTAGAGTTTAACTGACAAACCAGAGAATGGAAAACTCGGCGTTGCTCAATCCAACAGACTTTGTGTATTTCTCTGCATGATGTAATCAAAGCAACTACTTTTCACCTGGCAACATTCACATTGATAAAATCCCATTATTATGGTCATTTATTTGTCATTTGTGAACACCTATTATAAAATAAGGCTAAAACTCATAGAGAATAAAGTCCAGTTTATGTAAAGCTCGGACAGACCATCATATGATTCATTCTCCATCTTTTAGTCTAAGATGCCATCAAGCTTCTGCCCACACAGCCGAAAACATCCGAGGTATATATGACAAAACTCCTTGAGAAACAGATAAGAACAATGATTTTCTCAACAAAAGCATACTCCTTCTTTCACGACTATATGTGTTTACAAACGAGAATGCTAATGACAGCAAACGTAGTAAGTATACGTGGAAAATGGAAGAACATCCTTCAAAACAGTGATTTGTGTCTCTGTAATCATAAGAACACTTCAACTACCCACGCAAATGAGCAGAAATCATACTCGAGCTTCTTACAGCTCGAAAACTACTTTTTCTATCTATTTTATGTTGCCATGGCGAGGAAATGAAGGTTTTCCTGTTATTGTGTGCCTCCTGTGTAACATGATCACTTTATGGTGATAATATTGCTACATCCACGGCGCATTCACACACAGCCCTCAATCTGAACCGGGGAAAGTCTAAAACATGTCAACACATGTAAAATTGATTTAAAAGATTCACAGTCCAAGCAGACCAGATCAACTCATGGCAAATGATGTAATCGAGCTGTGCAGAGGAAGGACTATGGTAATGACTTGATCTTTTCAATGAGAAAAAAATTTGACTTTTTTTCAGATACATAATTTTAAAAACATTAAAGATACATTTCTGTGTAGCATCTGTGGTGCTTTTTCTGTATACAATAGAACTATAAGGTAGCCTGTTTATCAATTTTGTTGCTATCACTCAAAAAGAATGTTCTAATTTTAAGAATTTAGGACTTAAAAAAATACAGTATCTGTAAAATTCATCATTTTTCGCCATTGAGAAGATCAAGTCATTACCATACTGTGAGCTCCCACTGGAGGTGGGGTGGGGGTGGGGGGGGGGGGGGGGGGGGGGTGGACAGTTAAATACCTACCTCCAGCAGCAGTGGTCCTAGTACCTCATTGGCCAGAATCGTCGGCTTGCTTGATGACACGTCGCTCTGTTGTACAGCCTCGTTTGGGCGATTTGTCGATTCTGAAAAAGAAAATTAGTTCAGAATGAACTCTAAAAAATGGCAAAAATTGTAAAAACAGATTTTTGACATCAAACAAATAACATGAAAAGAGATTTCTGACATGCAATTTTAAACCTTTTGGGCAAATTTGTCAATTCTGAAAAAAATGTAAACAATGTACTTTAAAAAGAAGCAAAAATTTTAAATAGAGATTTTTGGCATCAAATAAATATCATAAATTGAGATTTCTAACAAGCAATTTGAAACCTTTTAAGGGAAAGTCAAGTTACTTTGGATTGTTGATATTAACATACAATGAAGAGTGACCTAGACAGACGGCAGATCATCCATACTACATAAACCCTTCCCACTCCCTTTCTCATAGGCCTCCTTTTTTGATCTATTTTACTATACAGTTTTCATCATAAACATTAGTATTAAGTACGCAAGAAACAAAACAGAACCCCAAAATATGATTCCCTTATTCTGACAAAGGGGTTATACACCCCACTTCCATAAATTTTTTTATGAATTCAATATATTTGAAAAGTAAAATTATTTGCTATGTTTAATAATTATGTATTTATGTTGGGCGTTAACGGGAGTCACCCTAACAATTTTATGAAAAGGAGTAAAAGAGCGGAGCGTAACAGATTGTGAAATGCGTACCGACATACCATGGGCCCAGGGGCCCAACTGCTCCATGATAAGTTCTGAAAGAGAAATCTGTACACAGCGAGATGTCCGTAATCGATCTATCCCTGTGGGGAGTCTCACTAGATTACTGTCAGCTTGGCCAGCTTAAGCGTCTGTCTCGCCTACTAAAAGCTGTAAGGTGGTAATTAACTATGGTGTCTGCTCGGCTGACTGCAATTTAGCCTGAACCCCCAGGGAGTTAGGTCGATCTAAAACTTAATCCTTAGATCGATCTAAATCTCTGGGAAAGCACCCTTAGAGGTGCAGTAGCCAGTCATCTGTGCTTCTCTTAATTTTTTTTTCCACTGGGAGCAAGCTTCAGACACAGTGCCTTTTATCTGTCCTATTATTTTAGAGCTAAATTTATTTTTTAAAATTATTATTATTATTATTATTATTATTATTAATACCATTATTATTATTATCATTAATTATCAGACCCAATTCCAAAATTCTATCAAACAACAAGGTAATACTGTCTTTAATCCGTTCCTGTTTTTTTTTCTCCAATGTCATCTCATAACAATAAGCTGTTTCCACTTTAACTCTGTAAAATCAACTCAAGTTAGGTGGCTCCATACAGGAAAACAATCCGACCTTGAGAATCTTTTAATGTGTTGATGCGGGGGTTCCCACAGCCTGACCTTCTAACCCTGAAACCACAGCTTGTTCTCTGGTGGTTATACATGTCGTAGGATTAAACCCACAGTCAAACAGTTTAAAACTTGTAACATAGATCGGTTCTTACCACAAGTTACTAATTGCCTTGCATTTTCACATAAACCTTGCCAGCCAAAAGCACCTGCAATATCTAAAAATATTGCGGGTCCATCTCAAGCGGTAATGACCAGCTGAATAGGCCATTTTCCCATGTTTGCCATTCAAGGAAAACTTTTGTTCATATTTTCGTTTTATTTTTCGTGAAATTGAAGTAGCACTGGACTATGGCAAAAGCACAGATTGTTGCAATCCACTTAAGCCTGTTTTTAAAATCCTGTCCATCCTCACACAATTCTTCTCAAAATTCCGCCATCTTGCCAACATAACCAACATCATACTTACAACACATGGGAGTCCACAGCACATCGTACTCCAATCAACTTACCTCTTTTGATCCTGTTAATCTCCTTGACCGTTTCTTGAAGTATTGCACGCTTCTCTGGCTTAAATGTGACAGTACTCATGTCCGATATGGAAGCTGAGATGAGCTGCGCCAGCTCGCTGATATAGCTACTGCTGTGTTGTGCGGCAGGGACAGCTGGGGGATCATCTAGGGATGTGGATCTGGAATGGGAAAATAAATAAATAAATAAATAAATTAATTAATTAATAAATTAATAAATAAATAAATAATTTAATTTAATTTAAAACATTAATTGAGTTATCAAGGGAAGATATATATAAGTTAATTAAATGATCAATTGACTAATTGATTGATTGATTGATTGATTACTAATGAAAATGAATGAAAGCATCAACCAATTAATAAACAGGGATGGGGCTTTTTGGTTCCCAAAAAGCCAGAAATTTGCCTTTAGTCAGAAAATATCTCATTAATGTTGTAAGCACAAACACTTCCCAAAAAATCGCAAAATCCACCAATAGTGAGGAAAATATCATCCTTGATAAAATTAGTGAGTGAGTGAATGAGGGAGAGGAGTGAATGATTGAATGGATGGGCAAACAGACAGAATATCAGACGGAAGACACCGATCTACTGAAACCGATGACAAATTGGTAACAGTGGGCATTTGTTAAGTGGTCTGTTAAGTGGTCATTTTTTACCACTGGCAAAGCTTTCCAGAACATGGAAAAAACTTGAACAAGCCACCATATTGTAGATCATTGCTTTCACTATTAGTTATTTCTGGGAAATGCATGAAAAGGAATGACAGAGCACTCTGAGAAAATTCTTCGGAATGTTCAACATGATAACTTCACACAGCTTCCCAGCTGCTATGAGAAAACAGAAAACCTTCAGAACATTGCAAAGAATAGGTTTGTTTCTTCTTGCCCAATATCCATTTCTCCATTCTCACCCCCAAAAAATTAATTAATTAAAAATAATAATAATCACCCCCTTTTTGTATTTTTCTTAATTAAACAAATCTTCACTGAAAAATATTCTCTGTAAAAATTCTACATCAAAAAAGAAATTAACCATTTAACTATTCACTTCCCTAACCTGCACAAAAACATTGGCTGAAGAGCAGAAACATATATTTTCCTTACAGGCCTCAACATGCCTCCTATACAACACATTCACAACGTTAATAGAATACCAACATTGGTCTACAGCATCTATGATCCCTCTTCTGAAGGTCATTTCAATCACAACAGCAACTTTTTTTTTTTTTTTTGTTCTCAGCAAAGGAGCAATTGTAAATCAAAGCGACTATAGAAGTGACTATGAACACTAAAGCGCATTCGTTTCAATGCCAGATATTATCCCTCACCAATGGAAGCGCAATTGGAGATTCAGGGTGCATTCCCATAGATTTTAGATAGATCTATCCTCGTGGGGAGTCTCACTAGATAATCAGATAATCCGCCTACTACAAGCTGTAAGGGGGTAATTAACTTTTGTGCCCGCTCGGCTGACAGCTATTTAGAGCGAACTCCCAGGGAGTTATGTCAATCTAGTTGGATCGATCTAATCTGTGGGAATGGGGTCATAGATCATTTTGTGGATACATGATTTTGCTTGTCGAAATGAGGGGGGGGGAGGAGTTGATAAAGGAGGGAACTTAGGCAGGAAAAGGTCCTGCCTTTCGCTCTGCTTTAAATCTGCATATAAAAACTTGATTTAACAATAAATTGGCTAATTACAATATGGTATGCTGTAGAGAAGCTTAAAAGTCACAGCATTCAAACTGATTGCATCAATTGAGAATCTTTTCCTTATTGCTGTTTATTTCTAAAGAGCATCAAATTTTTTTTTATAGCTTTATTAGGTATTTATAGGTTAATTTGGAGGGCTCTACTTCTTCATCTTAAATTCTCTCTCTCTCTCTCTCTCTCTCTCTCTCTCTCTCTCTCTCTGTATTACCTCCACCATCAGGACCAATATCATACAACATGCATTCAAATGGAAAATTTCAGCAAGTTCACCTTCAATTTCATCAAAAATATTTCAAGATGGTTGACATTTACAGAGGCAGCTATGAACTGCATTACAGCACAACAACTTGTGTTATGTCACGAAAAAAAATCAACACAAAATGGACTATAAAACATCATTTTCAGATCCTGTTTTTTAAGCCCAATGCTTTTTCCATTTCAGCTCATTTGCCAGAAAATCTATAATCTTACAAATTTTTAGTTTGCCTTTTCATAATCACAGTCCACACAGTACCTATAATGAACCGATACCAAAAAACCTGCTGAAACCCTGGATTAACATTTCAGTCTCATCAAGTCCGTTGTGTGAATCCCCCAATGCTTATATCATCACCATGGCAACATGAGCTAACCATGTCACATCAAATACACGTCAGACTGGGAATTACATATACAGCACTATGGTTAATGTCACAGGTTAAGCAGATAGCTTACTGATAGCTTGGTATTAGTTTACAACCAGATTAGGTTTTCTTCTAGAAACAAGTTCAACAGGTGCCTAAATTAGCAATTAGCAATCGGCGCTTTGCTGCAAACCCATTCGCTCTGTGCTCTCACATCTCTGGAGGATGGAAACGTCAATTTCCAGTATACTAGGCACTGGGAATCACCCTTCATAGTTACCAGCAACGGAAATGATCAGATTTCATATATTAACCTATGCTTTGCCATACACACTTAATTGGTAGGATTATGGAAAATGATGAATATGAAAGTAGATTTCAGTGCTGCATTTAACAGAAATCATGTTTAGCTCTAATCTAAAGTCTCAGGGAGTACAGACTCTGGGAATACTCCCTGATCCTTAAAACTGGGCTTGATTGCAAATACCTTCAACTTTTCAATCCCACACTCCAGGTTTGATTGCAATATTTCTTCAGCTTTGCAATCTTAAACTCCAAGCTTGATTGCAATTATCTTCAGCTTTGCAATCCCAAACTCCAGGCTTGATTGCAATCACCTTCAGCTTTGCAATCCTAAACTCCAGGCTCGATTGCAATCACCTTCAGCCTTGCAATCCCAAACACTAGGCTTGACTGCAATTTCTGCTTCACAATCTCAAATGCCTGGCTTGCTTGCAATAACAGCCCTGCAATCTCAAACACCTGGATCACTTATATTTACTCACTTCTTTACACTTCAAACACTGGAAGTGACTGCAATAATCCACACTTTGTCCTCTACAAAAAAAGACTCTCTTGCAATAACCTTTAGATCCGTAATCTCCCTGTAATTCCACATTGTACAGATTTAACTCGTACACTAGTCTTTTGTCCACCAACATACACTCGTCGTAAAACATTCTTTTGGTCAAATCAATTCTGAAAGCCCTCTCTGGCAAGAAATTCAAGGAAGCAATTAGGATCACATAAGACTCACAACCTGTGTTGGACGTCAGGGAAATACTGGGAACAGAACAAAATTCCCTGAAATCTGAGAATCCCTTGAATAATCACATACAGGGATCTAATTGGGTGGGAATAAAATAACAGAGACTCGTCTTGTACAATCAAATCTCTAGGGGATTACAGTCCTCCAGATGATGAAAAACAAATTTGCTTGGCAAGAAGTAATATGTGTTTTAGAATTGGTTGTGGTACTACTATACCCTGGGCTTTCAGTTGGCCATTTTGTGAGTCAAAGTGTTGAAATGGTAGAATATGAACCATGATGCAGGAGGAGCTCCCACTCTCATGCATACGTACATCATGCAGAAACATGTGCGCATACACACACACACACACA